ACAAAAAAAAAAAAAAAATATATATATATATATATATATATATATATATATATTGAGCTTCATTTTTTTTTCTTTAAATTTTAGTATAATTTATTTTGTGAATTTGGGCTGATAAAAATAAAATAGTGATTCAATAATAAAGTAAGTGATTGGAAATTTTAATTTTAGGCACATGGCTATCATTTTATATTTTGTTTGTTTGTTTTTTTTATTAATTTTCAAACCTTTTTATATATTTGTTCATAATTGATTGGAAATTAATTTTTTAACAAATTAAAATGTGTTTGTAAACTCTTTAAATTTAAGCTCAAATTTGAAAAGTGTTCTTTAATTCCAATCCAAAATGAGAGAGATGATAAACGGTTTCCTAACATATATTAGAAATAGCGATATAGTGATATTATTGAACTTTTTATTGTAGGGTTAAAGAAATTGTTATTGTTGGATCCCAACTAATTTAGAGAACGATAATGAGTTTATAATCAATGTCAAATGAATATGAGTTTATAATCCACGCCAAATATGAAGCCTTTCGAGGAAGCAAAAACAAAGTCATGAGAGAAGCTCAAATCCATTGGTATGAGGCCTTTTAGGGAGCCCAAAGCAAGCCATGAGAGATGCTCGAAGTAGACAATATCATATCATTGTGGAGAGTCGTTCATCTAACATGGTATCAGAGTCATGCTCTAAACTTAGTATTGTGAGCCTAGAAAAAATGAGTCGAGCCTCGATTCCCTAAACTTAGTACTATGAACCTGGAAGACCTAGAAAAAAAGAGTCGAACCTCGATTCCCGAAACTTAGTACTGTGAACCTAGAAGGCCGAGTAAAAAAGGAGTCGAGTCTCGATTCCCTAAACTTAGTACTGTGAACCTCGAAGGCCTAGTAAAAAAGAAGTCGAGTCTCGATTAAGGGGAGATGTACTTTGCTCGAGGGGAGGTGTTGAATGAAAAGTCCCACATCGATGCTCAAAGAAAAGAAAAATACATGCTAAACCAACACCATCATGTGTACATAAAATGTCGACCTAACGTTAACATCACCACATAAATTTGAACATACCGTACTTCGTCTCCACATGCCAACATTCTTCATGCATATCCATATTTTGATAGAACTCATTTTTTCGAAAAATTAAATGTTATCAAACAAGATCTAAAAAGAACGAACAACTAATTACGAAATCACTCCTAAAAAAAACATGAAATGAGACTGGTCATTCTTCATAAATAAACATCATTACTGAAAGAATCCTCAAGATTTAATAAGAGTATTATATAAACATAGAAAACTGTACATCATAATATGTTTATTCATCAGTACACAAATATATAAATGTCATTAATATTACATCCAAGTAACTTATAGAACTATGCAGTACAGAATTCTGCATGTGTATAGAATTCTGCATGTGTATAGAATTCTGCATGTGTATCTCTCATAAGTTCGTAAGACAAAAAGGAAAATTTAGCTGAGTCCATACACACAGAAATTTACATAGAATCAGAAGCATTCCACAACTGCTTATGAAATAGCAGAGAATCAGAAAGAAACTTTACCTGCAACGTCACAGCAGAATTGCTTCACGCCCTGAAATTCTGCATCGTCGAGGGAAGCAGCAGTAGCGATCCGATCGAGCAGGGCATCTTCAGTTGCCTGATCAAATTCAGACCTAGATTTGAACAAGAAGTAACCCCAACATTCCCAAGGTGAAAGAATGGAAGATCTGTCCGACCCTTGCAACTGCATCCATCAAACAATCGATAGCATAACGTCGGTTAGATCCAGGGCGAACGAAGCTTGTAGAAGGATTTATATAACCAAAAGACATAGAAGTATACTATGCACAGAAATCCTAGTATTATGTACTAAAAAGGCGAAGGAGAGGCTCTCTATCATCCACCATATAGACTTTGGAGCCAAATTTAACATGAAAAATATTGCTTTCAGGTCCAAGGTACAGCATGATTTGAATATTTTGATAAAGAAAGATGACAAAAATTTATATAAATCATAATGAAGAATTATGATTATAGAGGGAAAATGAAAAAATAAGATCCAATCAGCAAATTCTTTATTTTGCTTCCATTAATGCCAAGTCTTCAAACTCGAGCCTTTTGCAGACACTACTGTACCAGATTGAAAAGCAAAATGTTGAACATAGAAAAGTTCTTTCATATTTCTCAATGAAAACTCGGTTTCTTATAAAAACAAATAACGAAAGATAAATATTATTTGTATAAGGAGTCGAGAATAAGATAATAGAAATAGTTATTAGAATGTTTTCCAAGACAAAATACATATCATTTTTCAGATTGAGTATACACATTTAAAGCCTACTGACTCCATTTTTTTCATCGCTTATTTTCCAATAATGAACAGAACCACAAGCTGCTGAGATCATTGCTCACAATCTCCACAAGGAATGTGAACCTATTTGTTCTGTACTGCATGGCTCTACCGTAAACCTTAAGAAAACTATGTTTTCTTGCAACGTCTGACAAATTTTATGTTTAATGAAGACAACTCTATACTAAGCATGAGAAGCACAAGGAAGCATTTTACCTGAAGAAATAAGAAAATCTTCTTGCCACAATCACGAATCAGCAAATTATACAGAACGCATTTCTCTTGTAAATGAGAACATATCTCTGCAATAACCTGCCCCATTTTCTTCAAGTTGCAGCTGCTCTCGAATAAGAGGGCCTTAACAGGGTAATCTGTGATAGTAGAAACACAAATTCCCCCCAAGCTATCACTAAAGAAGGTATCAACTGTCATGGCCTCCACAGGTAAAAGGCTGGAAAAGAACAGTGCCTGTAACATTGGGGGAAAACTTACAATATTTGAAACAATTTCAAGCTGGATAATGAAAGCAAGAAAAAAATAAAGACCCATATAACGGTCTTATTTATTGCATGGAATAATATAGAATTATTGCATATCAATGGGGTGACAACATACACGAATTTCCATTCATCAAAACACCAAATAGCCAACTGTAGGGACAGTTTTAGTGCTGGTTATACACTTAAGGAATTTATGGCGATTGCCCTGTAGTTAATGCACTTCCATTTTTAGACTCTCTGTAAAATGCAAGTGACGGTAAAATTCCTAAATCTTTGATCATGGGACTCAGAGCGTTACAGAGCACTTTGGCTATTAAAAAAATTAAGACAATCCTATCAAACATAATAGCTCTTACAAAAAAAAATATTCAAACATAATCGCAACAGCCATAAATCTGCGGCTTCTCACCTGAAAATATAGACAAGCAGTCCCGGGAGTAGAACATTCATAGAATAAGCAGAGGGCAAAGTTATTAATTTCAACAGAAAGCCTTAAAAGCATTTCCAATTCCAAAGACATATCATCCGAGAACTGAAGAGGACCGTTGACAGCACAGGGCAACAAGATTACATGACCATATTCTACAGGAGTTGCCTGGGAAAATGAGAGAGAGAGAATCAAACTTATGCATGTCTTGAAGAAACAATATGAGCACAAGAAAACAACTGGTCAGGTAAGCATTACAATAATATCAAGCACCCTGCATTTTGCAGATGATCAAGGGATAATTTATAAAGGAAATGACAGTACAATTGCACCAGAAAGGGATGCCGACTCATTAATTGCTTTCTACAATAGATGAACTTCACTTAATTCAATACTTTTTTAGAGAAAAGGGAATGATAAAACAATGCTACGCAAAATAGAAAAAAGAAAAAAAGGGGTTCTTAATATGGTTTACCATCATCACAAAGTCAATGCTGCAAGCATAAAAACCAAAGATCTAGCAAACAACGATCCAGGGATAATTTTCTTTTTTTTTTTTTCTCTAAAAAAAACAGGCCAATGAAAGTCCAATTTTGAGTCATACGTTGATAATAACCAGGATGGAACTAGTGGGCACTAGAGCAGCAGAAATAAGCTTGGATTCATTATTTTCACCACGTGAAATGCAAAAGAGTAATTCCTCTTGGCACTTCAACCAATTAGTTTGAAATAGACTTCCGCTCATCTCTTCATATTGTGACAGAGATGGGTTGGTCCAGCTCTCATTCAGCTGAGCAAGGAACTTTTTCTGGCCCATGATTGCCTGCAAAAAATATTAAAACCCATAGGTCTTAGCAGCCTTTCCTTTTCTCTATATTTTGGAGGCCTAGAAGACAGCCGGTTGATTCCAAAAATGAGTCAAATGAGGTTCCAATAATAGAAAATGCAGTATACACTACCTTAATTTCAGATAGAGTCACATCATATCTAAACTGGCCTTCAGACAATTTCTCTTCCCACTGCAATGCGGAAGGACCGCTGTTACACAGACGTCCAGAACACCAAGAAATAAAAAGTATAGTTAAAGCATAGTAGCATACCTTGGCAAGAAGTATAGACTCCAATATGGTTTGTTCTTCCAGAGGAACGTCTGAAGGTGCTTTGAAGGAAATGTCATCTAAAGGAGAATTTCTACCAAATTGATAAAGAGGTAATCTAATACCTGAAAATTATTTTTTATTATCAATAGGCTTCACATGAGCATAAGATTATGTTCAGAAACAAATCGTAAAAAATAATGTCAACAAAGTTGAAGGTAGAAATCTTGGTTATCAGTCAATGATGACAATAAACTACACTAAACAGACAGTCAAGTTAGAGCACTAACACTTAGAAAGAGATCATCCCTGAAACTCTAATGACGAGAACTCTCCATTGGTAGTGTCTACAAATGATATAACATCAGAAAAGGTGATGCACACTCAGCCATGCAGTTTTCTGAGTAACTACTACAAATTAATCTAAAAAATACAACCACCAACTAATCGGGCAGCCATTACAAATAATCGTAAGAGATGGCTCATATCATCTAACAACAGATGGAGCGTCTCTATAACTACTGAGGATTTTTTTTCTCTAACAACGTTGATTGAGCACAAGTTGTAAAGCTAAGGTTGCCCATCCAAACACAAGTTTCTGCAACCGTTTGGGAGATCGAGATAATTTTATAAGATGGGACAAGGGAGATAGGGAGGTGGAGAATATGGTGGGCTTCCACACATCAAGATAATACTCTCTACCCAACGAGTTTTTTAAACTACCCTCGTTCTCAATTTCAGAAAAAAGGATAACTTTTCTAACCCAGCATGAAATGAAAGTGAACAATAATAGTTTTCACAAGAGGGAGGATGCGAATTATTCTAACCACACAGCTAAGCTGATAAGAAGTTCTAAACATCACGGATGTAGGAAAACAATTATCAAAGAGCTCAACATTGAACTACCAGAAAAGACAGTATAATTAAAAAACACTAACCGTTGATGCATGACTTCTGAGTTTTTAAATGCTCATTTTCCATATATTTTGAACACAAATTCTCATCCTCGGTCTGCTTCGCTTGAACCATTCTTAGAGTGATGTTTAATGGTGATTTCAAACTACCAAACTGTGTGCAGTATATATTAACTTCTCGGGACAATCCAGTGACAAGGAATGCCGCTCAGTCGAAGGCTTGTCTTAGTAACCACCACCAGCAAGGAAGGTAAGATCTGCTGGGTGCCCACCAGCTGAAGGCAGGGCACCACGCCCACCGTGAAATGAAGGGGATGCAATCAAGAACTTAGGGAAAGCTTGCATGTATTCTTTGTTCCTTCTAATTTTGACACAGGACTCTTGCCTTAAAGCCGTGATTGAGCAGTGAAAGCCAGCCCCTCAGAGGACCAGCCCTTTAAAAGTCTTGGAGTAACTCTGAAGGAGGAATCAGATTTGAGAGAAAATATAGTGAGAAAATATAGTGAGCAAATATAGTGAGCAAAATATAGTGAGCAATAGTGAGCAAGGGCAAAATGACAGTGATCTAAGGATCAACACTTTCAACTAACATACGTTTCTTTCTGATGCAACAAATCATCATAAATATTTCAAAAAGGGCTTTGAATTCATTAAACGTGTCTACTATCTTCTAAAAACATCGATGCTTGTCGAAGAAAATGTAAATATATGACAATAGAATCCAAATTAAAAAAGCTAAATTACCCCTTTCGGATAAAAGAAAGATAAGGAAGCCTTTACCAGGCAACTGATCCAACAAAGCTGTCCAATCGGTTCTCAAATCAGGAAAGAAACACCTGCATGGTTTAAGATCAAAGTTACAAATTGACCGACATCCTAATTGCTAACGAAGATGCAAGTTCTAATATCCACGCAGTTAACAAATTAAGGATTAAAATCGTTACCGCAAATGAAATGCTTCTGAAATTGAGAGAACCTACCGTGTTCCTTCCGCGATTCCTGCTCGCTCGCTCTCAATCTCCCACTGTGAACAGTAATGGATGAATTGACCATCGACGCGTGTTCTCTGTACAAAAAACCCAAATTATCACAATGAGTTCTACACTTCGATGGGCGGTCTGGATCATGCAAAGGATGGGAATGGAAAATGGATGGCCATCTCTTGAGTATAAGCTTTTCATCTTAGGATATGATAAAACCTTTGTATTTTTTCACATCCTCATAAATGGATATATATATATATATATTCCATTTCCAAATATTTCTATGGTTGTCGGGAAATTCAATGGTCAAACATTCGAATGAATTTATGAAATCGTTAATGTGAGTAGAGACATTGAAGTGGAAAGTCAATGCGAATAAACGAGTCACTCCATCTACAAAAAGACATCTTATTCCGTAACAATTTATAAGACTTTAGGTGCTATCACTTAGCTAAAGTGGGAGTACATGATTATCTCTTTCATTTGGGAGGACGAGCATCATAGCTTGCTCGTACCTCGAGGCAAGCACGTGATTTACAATCATTTACTTATGGTTGTATGGTTTTTCGTTAGTTTGTTGACTATGGTTAATAGTAGTAGTCTGATTAGAACCTTGAAACTTTTCAATGTGAGTAGTTTCCGCTACATTGGGGGTAAAATCGTCATCTATAGAATTTATGGAGCCAAGATTGTTAAAGCAAAGTGTGTTGCTCGCGAGGACAACACCAAGGTGATGTGAAGAGTGTCGAGGTGTAGCAGCGACCATTCATAATCAGATCGAGAGTTTTCGTTGAACTCTATCTGGGCTGTTGTGTTTGAATGTCAAGTAACTATTGTTGAGCTATTTAAAAGGTGCTCTGTAGCGTGAGTGTGACAGCAATTCTATTACAAAAAGTTAGAATGTAGCCTCGAGTTTATCTTTAATATTGTTTATCTTTCTGTGTCTGTCTATTCGTCCTTATGACCTACCAATTTGTTTGGTTAACAAGTGAATGGTAGAAAGACGATTTTTAATATTCTTTTTTGGTTAATATATACACGTCAATATACAAAACTTGCTTTAATCAGCATCCCGAACAATTCATCTCACTCGATACAAACTCACCTTAGCTAAACGCCCACTCGTGTCTATACATATTTTTACACTCTTAACCACACTCATCAACTCACAAAAAATTCAAAGAGTATTGACTTTTAATTCTTCAGAAAGCCATTGATGTAATTTGAAACGTTGAATTTGATGTAGATAATTTCAAAACAGTTTATTTTAGTTTCGATAAAAAAAATTAAAATATATAATATAGAAAAATGAGCTAAAAGTGAAATTATCGGACTAAAATAGTCAAATTTTTAAGGTATATGACCAAACGAGTATTTTAAAAATAAAAAAATTAAACGGGACGAAATTGAATATTTTAAAAAATACATAGTAGTATTTAAACTATTATAGTGATAACAAAAATAAATATTTAATTTTGATAAGATTAATTTTTTTTTTTAAATTTTAATNTTTTTGGTTCGTTTAAAAGAAAAAAAAAAAAAAAAAAAAAAAAAAAAAGAATCCTGTTTTACTGAAATTACATTGTATAGTGGGGGCTGCGTTGAGCCAACGCTGTGTGAGTTTGCTAGGGTTTATTAACGGCTGGGTTGGGATTTAGGCAATATTGCCAAAATTGACACAAGGCCTCCCTCTCGGCCGCTCACTGCGCCTTCTGAATCCGGCACCAAATCTCAGCTAGCCGATACGACCATATACTTTCGTCTCAGTATCAGCAATGCCTCCGAAAGCTTCGAAATCCAAGGAAGCTCCAGCTGAACGACCTATTCTTGGCCGTTTTTCTTCCCATCTCAAGATTGGAATTGTAGGTTCTTACTTCGAGCGTTTATTTCCTCGTGGATTCCCAGTTATGCATTGATTGGTTGCTTGGAATTGCCAAGGATGAAATTCCACTGGATTGTTTATTGTCTCGTTGGAATCTGTGGTTTTGTAATCCAGGATGCGAGTGCTAATTATGATTTTTCTGTTCTGTTACAAGATTACGCTTCTGATTTATAGTTTTTTTTTTAGTTTACGAAGTTGATTGTCTTTTTTTTTTTTTTTTCTTTTCTTTATAGACTTTATTTATTGATTAACTTTGGTTTTGATTGGTTTAGCGTTTGTTTGGAAGGTCTGTAAACTGACATCATTTTGCACTTCTGCGCTTAAAATTATGGATGGACCTGGCTTTTGATACTATGTACATTATTTTCTGAAGGCATAGCAATGTTGGTTATCCATCTGTACAATTCAGTGACTGGTGTTTGTTTGAGATTTCAGGTTGGATTGCCTAATGTTGGCAAATCTACTCTTTTCAACACACTCACAAAGTTGTCCATACCTGCTGAAAATTTCCCATTTTGCACCATTGAACCTAATGAAGCCAGAGTAAATGTGCCTGATGAGCGGTTTGAATGGCTTTGCAACTTATACAAACCGAAAAGCGAGGTTTGCTTACTGTTTTACAGCTATTATCAAAGGCACTTGTATAGCTCAACATTTCTTTAGATATTTTTTGTTGTTGTATCGGCTGTTAAAACTGTTTAATTGGTTCCATTTTAAGTCAGAGATGGAAAGTTATTTTTTATTTGGTTATTTCTAGTAGAACTGGAAGTGTATAGAAATCCAAGTGCTAGTAATGTTCAGTTCAATACTATCTTTCCATATGCATGTTGAACTCCAAAGCAGTAAATTAAATGCACAACCATTAATAGCGTTGTGATATAAGTTTGTCACTTCATACACTGTCCCATCGACTTCATTATTTTTTTTCAACCTTTTTTTTTGTGAAAAAAATATTCTTCTATAATGGTTATAATTAGGATTTTCACTTTATAAGATTTTATTGTGGTGTCAAAGTTTTGACAGAAATTTATGGAACATGAAATGTAAGTGCTAAAGTACAAACCCCATGCATAGGAAGACTTGCTATAGCATGGTAAGAGGTTTGCTAGTAGCCCTAGAGGAAGGCAAAAGTGTTTGACGGTTGATGATATTAAGGTGCATCAAATGATTTGCCCCATCCACTTTAATCTCATTTCTAGCTCTATTATTGTTTTCAAACTATCTTCTTGCCCCTAAGAATGATAGATTTTTAAAAGAAGTCCGTTCAGTATTTACATATTTTCAGTGGAAAAGACATGAAAAATACATGGGACTCATTATTGAATCTATAAAGTCAATGGACAGGGAAGAAAATGTTGCAATATGGGGTTTTGAAGGTGTAGAAAGGGGGTTGGATAAGTTTCCTAAGCATGATGAATAACTTCCATAGAAACCTAGAACCTCCACCTCTTCCGTTACCAACTTGCCTGCCTTGTTTAGTTTGTTCGACCATGTTAAATTATGATAGGGAAACATAAGATGTCTTGGCTCTCTTATCCTCCCTCTCCCCGTTTCGTTTTCGGCCCAGGAGGAGGGATTCCCGCTGTTGGAGTCCTTGTCATTCCACAAGTTTTTATTGTAGCTCTTTCTTCTAGTGCTTAACGAACTTTTTATCGATGGGTGGTTCTATTTTCTCCTCAGTTTGGAAGGTGAAAATTCCCAAGAGGTTGGAGTTCTTCATGTGTCTGGTGTTGCATGGAAGAGTTTACACCTTGATCAGATATCGACTAGAAGATCTTTAGTGCTTGGGTTGCTTTGTTGTATCTATGCAAGAGAGTGGCATAGGAACTAGATCATTTCATGTGGAAAAACAATAGAATGTGTAGAGAGTGTAGAGAGTGTCAGAGTTCTTATGACGATGTTTGGTCTCTTGATGTATTCTTTGTTTCTCTTTGGAATTTTGTTTCTAGGCTCTTTTGTGATTATTTGCTTGATCTTATTTCTCTTGGCTCAAGCCCTTTTTTGTAATTTGGCTCCTTTTTGTGGGTTTTTCCTTTTTTGTATGCCTGTGAATTCTTTCATTTTTTTCCTCAATGAAAGTCAATTTTTTTCACATAAAAAGTTGGATGAAGCCTCCTTGTGGGTGATCTCAGTCACAATTACTCTTCGTGAACCAAAATTGGGTTACTGTTAATGATTTGATTTTCTTATGAAAAATGAGATGCTACTCTTCATGAAGAAACCATGTCTATCCCCATTATGGTGGTTGGATTGAAGTTAGTGGCATTCATTTGGATTTATGAATTTGGGATTCTTTCAAAGCTTGATGAAGCTAGAGAAGGTTTTTTTTGAGGTTGTTAAAAGGGCTCAAAATAAGTAGCACTTTTCAAAACCCCTAGTCAATGTTGGAGGTAGTTTTGTGGGTTTCTTGCTGAGATTGGGATTTCTCAACCCTCTGTTCCAGCAGTTTGAAAGGGATCTGAAAAACTTGCTTATTAGCATTTATCATACAAACAAAATACTATTTTATTTTAAAGTAGTTCTATCATACTTTTGGCAATATAAATTTCAATTTTGAGTTTTGTGTTGCATCATTCTGAAGTAATCTTAATGTACAGGTTTCGGCATTTCTAGAAATCCATGACATTGCTGGACTGGTTCGAGGAGCTCATGAAGGACAAGGGTTGGGCAACAGTTTCTTATCGCACATCCGTGCTGTTGACGGCATTTTCCATGTTTTACGTAAGATGTCCACATCAACCGTGCCCTCTACTTTGAAGTTTTGTTGCTTGCTTTCAACTGATTACATTAAAATGATTGGTTTAACATTCTAGATGACGTCTCTCTCTTCCCTTTAATGATTTTTTTTTCTTTTGGTAACAATGAATTTTTTTTTGTGAGTACACATGTTGGCCCATGGATTGGTTTGATTTTCATGCACCATAAGCTTTTTCTTATGTTCTGTATTTTATATCTTCTTCTTCTTCTTCTCCCCCCCTCTCTTTCTCTTTCCCTAGGTGCATTTGAGGATGCAGATATTATTCATGTTGACGATACAGTGGATCCTGTTAGGGATTTAGAGGTTATCAGTGAAGAGCTACGTTTGAAGGTTTGCCTTATTTTTGCAATTCTGGTTCTCTTTTAAATTTCAATGTTGGATTGTAGCTTTTACTGGTTGAAGATTTTGAATAATCAAAATTTTCCAATTTAATGTCAAATTGAGAATAGTAAATGTTTTGCACTCTCAAGAATGAGATCTTTTAAAAAGTAAAACTAAATCTTTGGTCCTGCTTCTATTATATGATCACCTAGTAGAATGGCTGACGTTACATTTTCC